AGCCGGGCACCTGAACCCCACACAGAATGGGCATAAAATCGAATTTAAATCCACATTGAATCTGAAATTCTACCATAATCACTGCAGCGTCGGAAGGACCTGACGAAGACACTGCTCGAACCAATCGGCGGTTTGGCGGGCTCTGACTTGCTGGTCTTAGGCTGCACTCTCGCGCTGTCCCTCTCTGACATACCCCAGGCGGCCTGGATAAAAAAACAGCCCTTCCTTGCCGGTTGCGTCGCCTGCCGATGCAGAGGCGTGTGAATTCAATCTTGCACAGAGTAATTCGACAAGAGCCCTGAAGAAATCCATGCGTATTTCACGTATTTCGCACCTGGTGAATTCTCGGAATGTGTGACCGATTCGGACAGCAGTCACAGTTCCGGCACTTTTTCGCTGGCACAACACAGTATGACGGCACTCAGCCTTTATCCGGCCTGGCTGACAGCATGGTAAAGCGTTTGTGGTATCCGTGATAGCTCTGGCAAGCTCCAAGCTTCGGTTCTGTCTGCTGCCTCGGAAGTACATCACACTGTGGAGCTGCCCAGGCCGTGCCAGGAAGTCCAAGGCGGCCTCCCGGCACGGCTTCTGACCTCAGGGCGGGCGTTCCGCGTGCCTAACTCCCTCGCGCCGCCAAGCCTTTGAAACCTGAAATCCCTGCCGTCCCTTCACCCAGCCCTCAGATTCGGAGCCTCCCCGCTCTCTCGGTGTGAGTACCACCTCGTAGGACTTCGACGCCCGGAGCTGCACCGAGTCTCCGTGGCCTCAGATCGGCTTTGAGCTCGCACTTGGAAAAATGACGGCATGAGAAAGGTAGACTCTAGCTGGCTTCCTGGAATGGGCACAGATAAGCTGCAAGCTTGCTTTCGAGAGCTTTTGAAGCGGTCCGATGCTTTGCAACCCAAAACTTTCAAGCCTGCTGAAACCTTCCGAGCCCCGACACTTACACACCCCAAAAGGACACGCAAGCCTGACAAATGCCAGGCCGCGCAGGTCGATTTTCTGGTTCTGGTCTGTGCGCAGCTCCAGCACGTAGCCCGAGACCCACACCTGGACCCAAACCCTTGTATGCAGCGTGTGGCGCGCCATGCTGCATCGGCATTTCTGAGGCCAGCACGTGGCTGGCAAACACCAGGATCCTGTCGCTAGGGCTTACAGGTTAGCGAGGCACCCTAATTCAGGAGTGGTCGGACATCTGGCTTTATCTGGCTCGGAGCTCAAGATCAGCACTCCGGCAAAACCGTCTGGTCAGTGAGTGCCTTGGCAACCACTCGCGTGGTACCCCGAAGGCTGCGAAGTAGTTGTCGTGTGCGACCTGCCGCTGAGCATGTTGCAATGTCCCCTGCCACACCGTACCGGTCCAGGCTGAAACCAAGGCGAGCCATCCTTATGAAAACTAGCTGATGCCGTGAAGACAAAGATTGACGGTGAATCAAGCTACGTCCTTCGGAGAACTGGGCGAGCAGAAGACTTGAGATGGCATTGCATGGGCTGGAGGTGGAGTCTCTCTGACAGCATGTTCTTGCAAGGGTTTGCCTCAATCTCTACCCACGTGCCCATACTTGATAGCTTGTAGCAGAGCCTGCTGCAAGATCGCCCTCTGTGCCGGCATGCCGCGACCGAAGACCTCGGCAGAAAGCAGCGCAGAATGAGACTGGGCTTTTGTTCTTCGAGTTTAGGCTGCAGCATAGCCTGCAGCACCGATGATCGAAAAACCTACAACTTGGATGGCCGGTGATCGGCTGTCAAAAAAGGATCGAAAGGGGTGGCAGAGATGCGGTTGTGGCAGGAACGGCCACCGTGAACCAGAGCAGGCTCTATGCTCAGGAATTCGGGACACTTCCAAAGCGTGACCCGGTTGCCAGCGTGCCCTGGAGCCCTGCAGCTATTATCTATTCTATCGGCGCGTACATCTTTGAATGCGGAGCCGCTCCTATGGGTTACCTCTTCGAAAAATGTTGCGCCATCCCTCGGCACAGCTTTGGAGGTCAGAGAAAAACACGCACACTTGACGAAGGTGCCAGATGCTTGGTGAGGCTTAGGCTGACCCGGAAAGACTGCGAAGCCACAGCCATGCTTCAATACGTCTTCAAAGCCTCGCACAGCTGGAGCCGAGGCACTGAAGCCGCCAGCCAGTTTTCCTGGCCGCCGGCGTCCAACTCAAAGAACCTTTCCGTGAGACGAAGCTCTCATCGCTGTTGCAAAGTTCCGGGAACACATGCGATCGGGCCTGTCCGGGTTGCATGAAGGAAGGTCTGAAGTTTCAGATTTTGCGAGGAAGCTTAGACTTTGAAGTTCGGTGAACCTTGCAATTCATGTTCTGCAGCTTCGGAAGACCCGGACAGGCGTACAACTTGCGAACAGCTTCGGGAAAGGACGGTATATACCCCTTCGAGTTGCAAAAGTACAGATGTAAACCTCGCAGTCTATCCTACGAGACTGCACTTGACAACGGCCAAAGCACTCCATGCGCATCTCCTCAGACAGACAGGTCGGCACCTGAAACCTCAGAGAAAGAGACAACCCCACAATAGCTGTATCTGGCAAAATCCGACCGAATGCATGCCAACCAGATCTGATCTGGGGTCTCAGCAGCCACTGGCAGCAAACATGACGGAACAGTTTCGGGCGTTCGGCATTCCTGTTTGGGCAGGCCGCTGAGACATGAAAGACGAAACACCTCACACAAAACACGCACTGCAAGAGCGGATGGATGCATCGCACCAAAACAATACTGCCTCCGCAAAATGTAAGACAGAAGCCAACCGAAACCAGAGAGGCAAGTCGCTCGGTGCAGCTTCCATAAGCGAGGGCATCAGCAACGAGGGCACCGCGTGCGCCTGCATCAATCGCGTAACACCAGGAGATCCCGCAGCTCAACACAGCATCACCCTGACGTCCACTTCCCTGACCCTGCACTTCCACCGCATCCTGAGTGGAAGACCCACCTAAGCTGAAGGAAGGTGCCTTGGCCTTGGTAGAAGAGAGCTCGCAGGTCCTTCCCCTGGCCATTGCAGAGCCGCAGCGTGTGATGACAATCCTGGGGCAGAGGGGAAGGTGCCATCGGTTGACCTGTCAATGTATGCCAGCTTCAGCAACTTGGCACCGCGCTAGTAAGTCCCGTGGCACTACAGGAGCCCCTGCTTCGAGCTGAACAACATCAGCATCTCCCTGCAGCTCCCTGCTGTCGGCTTGGTTCCTGGCTAGTGCTCGCTACAACCTGTTGCGAATCCACTTGGAGCTGTTAAAGCCCTTCGATGCAAGCACCTCAAGCGCCAGACCTGAGCCTTAGAGCTGAGACCGCAAGCTGCAAAACCCGAGTGCAGTGCCCGAGTAGCCTCGGCTGGACAGGGAGCGAGCCGGGCCGCGAGCAGAAGCCATCGGGACATCTGGCCATGTCGAAACTGCGCAGAGGGTGGTGCTTGATTGGCCGAGGGCGGATTCGAAAGCGCAGCGTTCAGATGTGTTGTTTACTGTTCCGGCCGAAGCTTTCTTTCGAATGTGTTGACACATGCAAGTGTCACAGCTTGAGCCAGTTTACAAGGAGAACACCAATGATCAGAGCCGTCTTTCTGAACCTTCTCTCAACAAGTACTTGTCATCTCTGGTAGGAAAGCCTGAGCTAAAGTGGCTCAAACAGTGCAGGGCAACAGGGCCTGTGATGGCCGGTGTCTCAGGCCAAGTTGCCGCTGGAGCTTGAGCTGCTGCTGCTGCTGTCGCTCTCAAGCACCTCTACCCAGGCAGGCTTCGCTCAACAACCCTGCCCTCAATGCCAACTCCGATACGTGAACCAAAAACAATGAGGCACTGCTCGGTTCTTGGCCGAAGAGAGCAGTTTGGGGGTGCAGGGCAGCCGCACGAACTCTTAGCTTCTAGACGAGTTCAGTCTGTTCCGCTGCAGCGCCCAACTTAATCGAAACAGTCGGGGAATGGTTGCAGGACATCTTACAACGTGTGGAAGGCATCAAGCAAGTGAAGACTTTTGTGGTATTCTGCCTTCTCGCATCCTCGCACATCCCAAACCCAGAGGCCTGCCTGAGCACTGCGCTCTGCAGTCTCACGGCTGTGCCCGAAGACGCCTCAAAGCGGTGGCTGCCAGGCAGTTCGGAGGCTTCGCGTAGTTGGAATTACAACAGTCGGACGTAGAATCACCAGTTTAGATAGACTTTCCGGGCGTGCCTGTGTGAACCCCAGCCCCGGGCTCCCACAGGACATCATAGGACCGTTGTGGCATCAAGGGAAGCCCCATCAAGATCAATGAAGCAAACTTCGAGAATCTGCATCTCCAAAACCTCACCCAAACTTCTGAGCATGCTTACCAAAAAATGATTTCTGAATGCCCTTGCGACCTGCCCGAGCCTCAGTCGGCAGCATAGTGGTTATCATTGGACTTGTTGGAGTTGTAGGTGACGCTAACTTATGGTTGAACTTTCACTTGTTTCCCCGGCGGTGTCATCCGAGGTCCAGGCGTGGATTAAGGCTGGCACTTGCAGCTCCGGGACTGCTCCTTCAGAACCGAAGTGCGCTCGGACTGTTCAGTGCAGGTCCTTCTGGCTCTTTGCTGCTTATCACATATTGGAATATCCGAACCTGTCAAAAGTGCGTCGGCTTTACATCTTGTTGTCTGACCTACTTGGCATCACCCAGAGAGTTGAATTTTGGCTGGAACGACGTGCAAGGGTTCAGTCTAGGATCAATTGCCTGAAGATCGCTGTCCTAGAAACTTTGCAAGCTTGAACTGAAGGCTCATCCACTTGGTGCCGCACGGCCGGAAGATGCTGGAAGGCCGCGCCTTTCCAAGGATTTGTGATCTGAAAACACCCCATGACACAAGAGAGTGAGATGCCGCTAGGCGAAGGCTAACCGTGCTTGCTGCACGGTGCAATACTCGGACTGTGGGCTGATTCAAGCAACCCGGGAGCTGCATCACTCCAAAAGACTCGCGCCACCCGCACAGCCGGCACACAAGTACATAGGGAACGAAGCGCCGACCCTCTTTTTTACCGTTTCGATTTCCCCTGGAGCCAGAGGCCGAAATCTTGCGTCAGGCTCCGGAAAGACGAGGCGGATGCTCTCCTGGGCTCCAAAAGAGTTCGATTTTCGACGTTCGAAGGCACTGCCGGCAAAGGCTGCGATACTGACTGGCAGGTCGGACTCGCAAGGCAACGGGCTGATTCAATCAAGGGAAACCTTGCCACAAGACACTGCTCGTGTGGCCGGGCTCCAAAAAATCAAGAAGTAAAAGGCTGCTAAATCCCTTTCCAAGGCACGTGCTTCGCCGTCCCCAGCCGAGGCATTCCAGCCACTCCTGGTACAGTGACGATTCGACGACGGCATGACCAAAAGGTCGGGTTTGGGCATCGATCTCGTAAGGCAGCGGGTTGTGGGTCTGTCGTTTTTGGGGCTTAGCCTTGAGGCCCGCTCCGAGCGTGTAGGGTACATGATTTCGGCGCTCACACTTGGACAAGCCAAACTGGATTCTTGGTGCTGGGTCGGTTGGATACGAAACTCTACGTGTTGAAGAGGAATGATCGAGACACTCCAAGTCTAGCCAAAGTCATCCCAACTCAAAACTGGCTCTATGACACGCAGACCAACGGAGGGAAACAGGTAACTAAATGCCCTAGTAGGCATGAAAGGGCGGGATGCTGAGACAACTTTATTGGGTTCCAAAGGTGAGATTTGCCTGAACTGGAATGTTGGGTGGTAGACAAGCTATGAGGCGGGATGCTCAGGCGAGGCATGGTGAGGCAATGAGACAATGCGCCAGCAAAACATCGAGCCTGGTACGTGGTTTCGACATGCACAGTCGCACAGGCAGGCACGGATCCACGCACAAGTCTCATAGTGGCAGCTTACCACGGGGACATGCAGGAGGACAGCCGACACGGCTCACAAAATCGGAGCCATAAGGTAGCTGGGATCAGCCTAAACTGCTGAACCACCCGTACTTCACAAGAACCCCACTGGTCCCCAGCAAGCCCGAGGCAGTCAACCCACAGAGGGGAAGAACATACAACCATGGTCAATGCACGGCTGAGTCAAGTCTACTGTTTGACAAGCACAAATGGTCAATCAGGGATCCAGCAAGCGGAGACGGTTCCGGCCAACCTAAATGATACAGGCTCCAGAGCACGGCTGGTGCTAGAGACAGATACTCCCTGGTTTGCATCTCGGCGCCTACAGCTCAAACTGGTTCTAACACGACTTCATGGCTCCTGCCTCGCAAGCCACGGCAAGCACGGCAACGATTTACTTGATTGGGTTTAGGGTGATGCATTCCTATGCTTGCCCATCCCACGAACAAAGCCAACGACCACTTAAGGATTCGCTTGTGCCAGGCAGAGACATGAATCGACAAGCTGGCAGAAAGGGGGGGCACTCCGAAAACGCAATCTACCGCACCCAAACGGCATCTTTAACAAGATTCCACAAGTGCCTCCCCTCATGAGCCTGAATTCCCGAGAGCTCCTGGAACGCGCTGCGGCGCGACGGCACTTGGCCTCTCATGGTCTAAAATTCTATGCTGCACCCACCTGCGCCCCCAAGCAAGCATGAGTTCACTTGCGGCTGCTAAGCGGGTAATCACCCAACCTGCGACAAAGGCAAGGCTCACAGGACACCTATCTAATCCCACCGACCTACTGCGTAGCCACAGTAGCTGCCGAAGAGGGCACCCACCAGATGCGAAGCATGCGAGATGCCATCCTCGGTCAATCTCAAGGATGGCAACGGGTCTCCAGATTTTACGACGGAACCACTCGCAACCCCGGCAGAGAGTGGGGTCCAGCGCACCCTTCCCTGACTCTGACTCTAGTCAACCCGGGCAGCGCACAACACCCGGAACTTGCATGCGGTGCAGACCAGTGTCTGCTTTTCCATGGAGAAGCGGACCGATCTCACCTGCAAGCCTTAGGCCCAGCGGCTCTCTTCCCTGATGCACTGCATAAGAGTCTTTGTGGGACACGTGGCTTCTCGAAGAACGAGGGCGAGGGGCCACAACACCATGGTCAGCAGAGCCGTGGCAGGCACGGCCTTGCGGCCACCAGTGAACCCAGCGAAGCCTAGGATTGAAACAGCATTCACACAGGCGGTACATGCACAGTGCAATGGGTCCAACAAGTCGAGTTGCAATGCAAGCCTGTCTTTCCTGAAGCAACCAGGTTTACCCGAATGGACGCGAAGAAACTTCTCCATTGCTGCTCCGTGAACCATCCCCAACAGTAGTCTTGCAATCCCTCCGATGTTTCCGTTCACGCAATCTGGACCTGCACGCAGGTGCCACAGGCCTTTAACATGCAATCCCTGCAATCCCTTAGCTGGTCTTCAAATCATCACGGCTCGTAGAGTCGTAGAGATCAATGTCTGCCGGGGGTCTTGCTAAGCGAGCTGCTGACAATCGACGTGAAACTACAAGGCCTAGGAATCGGCCTGAATGAGCAGAAGTCGTCGACGTCATAATGTTTGTCAGAAGAAGTAGTGGTGGCAGTGGCGGGCAGCAAGAGGAGGAAGCGGAGGAGCAGGAGGAGGACGACGACGAGGAGGACGAGGGGGCTGGAGATGGTGGAGGAGTAGCAGCAGCGGCAGTAACAACAGCCACGGCCTCTTGTCGTAGTCGTCGTCGTGGTGCTAGTAGTGGTCGTGTCATCGTCCTGTCTGTCTCCTTCTGCTACTGCTGCCGCGGCTCCAGCCACCCATCTGATCCAGGGTCTGGCTGAAACCCACGACATGCTTGCTCGTCAGGCGTTCGGCCTCTTTCGGCCTCTGGGCCCAAGCATAACACGTCTCTCAGGCGACTCCCGACCCACCTCTGCTGTGAAATGTTAAAATGTTGTCGAGCGTTGGGAGGAGCGGCATGTTTGCCGAGCCCTTAAAGGGAAGGAATGACAGGGCAGGTGCACAACATGAGAAGAACTTCTCCGAGATGCCATTCAGAGTGATCAGCGCAAAGACATTTCCGGATAGGCCGAAGATCTGCGCGTTGCGCGGGCCAAGAGTCCTGAAAGCTAGACATCCCTGAAAGAGGTCATGTGCAACTGCTGAAACATAGGCACTTCTGGCACATCCCTGCAACACATTCCGGACTTGAGAAGGTAACAGCATTGTGGATCACCCGCTGCTGTACACAAGACTGGCATGGTTAGAACCAGGAATCGGAATCGGAGCAGCTAGCAGCAAGTTTTCTCGGAGGCCGGAGCCGGTATTTTGAGATTGTCTAACATAATTTACCTACCAACGGCTGGTGTCTCCTCAACTGCTCTTTCGGAGAGCCTGCGATGATCCATCAACACTTCCCACACCTTCACACTCCGAGTGACCCACCTTCCGGAGTCATTGCCCTTTCCCACACGCCAAGGCTCCAGTGGCTGATGGCCACCGCCACGCTGCAGCAGATAAGCACACGGAATCTCGGATTCACAGTTTCTGACTTCCTTCTCGGACAGCAGAATTTTCTCCAAGCAGGCTTCACGGCCCACCTAGCCTAGGAGTGCCAACATCTCTTTGCTAGACATCCCACACGACGCCAGCTGCAAACACATCCTGCTTGAAGCAGCTCAAAGGAGAACGACAGTCCAGAGCCTCGACATGTAGCGTGCAATTCCATGCTTTGGGGCTAAGCGGCACGGCCGTGGAGCCATAGTGCCGCTCACCTAAGCACCGACAAGCTGCATGATCATGGCTTCCTACTCTGAGGCACGCCGTCCGTCCATTCAAAAGCCGAACTTGGACTGCGAAGTCTTCTGGACACCTAGGGTCGGCGTGTACTTGAGGAAAAAAACACACAGCCTGCACCTTGGCCTCGTGCACCGTCCCATCCCGGATGATGATATGATAATATTTTAATAATATACACAATGTGTTGGGACCAGTGGCAAGGCGGCCCCACTAAGCAGAGCAGCATGAGATTGTGCTGGAGGTGGTCCCAGCCTGAATCCCACAAGCAAAGGAGGAGGGCAATGCAGCACAGAGTCCTCGGCTTTCTCGACCCATCTGCATAAGAAATCATGGAATCCTCGATCCTGGACTCCTGTTTTTCAACTTGGCACCCCCGGGCTGCCGGGTTTGAGACGTCAGGTGCGGGCTTCATGTTTGGGCATTCGACTTCCGCCTTGTATGGGCTCAGTACAAACGGCGCAGAACTTACAAAGCCCAGAGCTGTTGGTCTGCAGTGGTCATGCATGACATGAAACAAACAACAGCTAAGTCGGGGGAGGATTCTGACATGAGGGACCAACTGAAAACTGCAAGGACTGAATGCCACTTTCGAGTCCGCCCGAATCAGACCTTCGAGTGAGGTATTTGAAGCAGATATCTCCATCCAATGCAAAGCGCACATGGCCCCAGCAACCCGTCGGCAAGCCTCCATGGCCGAGGGAATGGCTGAAAAGCCGCCAGGCAGTAAGAGGGCTGGACAGGGAAGTTGCCCGCCAAGGGAGCCTGGTCTACAGCCAACCACTGCGCGGGCCATGTTGGAGAGTGCCGTATCTACAGTATCAGGTCATGACCAAAATTCTCAGACTCCATGCCAAAGGCCAGATTGCCATGATGTACCACCGCGGTTCCTCTACGTCGGACTTAGCTATATACACCTCGTGTGCCGCATGATCCGGCAAGATGCGTTGCTGTAGAAATGCCTTGCGGTTTTGAGGCACGTGCAGGATGCCGTGTCTATGACCTAGCCAGGTTTTGAGTACATGCTCTCGTGACTCTCTCGACAACTCATCGTATTTCCGAGCAGCCAGGCATAGTAGCGGCTCAAGGCGGAGGGCTCCATCCGTGTGTGGAGGTAGACCTGACGTTCCAAAGCAAGAAGCCCAACAGGCCCTTTGCCTCATGACCCATCGCCAATCTGGAATCGTTAAACATCTCTTGCTCAGTTTGCCTAGCAGGGGGCTAGCATCTTTGTTGAACTTTGTTGGGCAACGTCGATGCCTTGCATTCCGGGAACTGGGAGTTGAGGATAATTTCAAGCTGGGTTCATGCACTTGTTTCCTGCCAGGCCTGTGCCTTCGAGCTTCCAGGGTGGCGTAGGGGTGTTGGGGCAGCTCGGACAGACGTGGCAGTCCGCATTTACAAAAATCAATCTCCTACGAAGAATCGAAAGCAGTGAGAGCTCGGAATTGGCAAACCTGGTGCGAGCAGAACCTCCGAATGCCGCCGAGTGCACCAGCAAGCACAGCAGGGTGGTCGCCAGCACCACGGGGCTGTCCAGGGCGATGTAGAACGCCATTGGTTTAAGCTTGCTCCCGCGAAGAGTTGAGTTTGTGGAAGCTCCTGTCTTGAAGGTTTCTTCGTGCCTGAACATGTCAATGCGGGACTTCGACAGTGTCCGAAGTTGAAGCAATGAGCGCTTCGACAGGAGTTTTTGGGAAAATACACATAGCAGGTTGCAGACTAGATTCTGACATTGAGAATATGCCCATGCTTCCAAGCATGGCAACCGGGCATCAGATGAATCCCATGAACAGGGGTCGGTATGTCTGGGTGCAGTCGAGGACATAGGAAACAAGCTTTTGACTTTATTGGTCCGAGCTCAGGGGTAAGCGGCGGCTTAGAACGTCGGCTGCATGCTGTCGCAACATGTCTGATTCAGTTGGAAACTGGAGAGCAAATCGGCATCCGCTTCACAAGCCAGAAAGGCTCCGGCTAGGCTTACGGGCATTACATGAGGAAGGCTGGGTTGCAAAAGCTGAGAATGACCAACTACGACCAAATAGCATCGGCAGGTCTTTGTAGCCTTCGCCTCGACAGCGAAGGAAAACAGCCGCTTGCTGTGAGATATGACCGGTGAAACTGCGAACTCTGAGCTGCTCGAACAATCTATGTTCGCATCTGAGAACATCATGTCCGTCGGCAAACACCTGTTTAAGATGTTCAGGACGGAAGATGCTCTGACAACCGCCTCACTCATCACCGTCGGCTGCTGCAGCTTCCTCCCGGACAGGTTCGCGATTCTTGTAAATTTCAGCACACGTCTGAGCTCCTGCTGTACAACGATTGCCGATGAGAGCATGGCTTGGCAGATTGGTTTTGCAGACTTCCCGCGGAGAACCTGATTTGCTGAGTCGCTGCTTGCCTTTCGAATCCTCCCAACTTCTGAGAATTTTGAGATCTTCGAGGTGCTTGCAAGCCCTCCGGCCACACGCCTGCGCGGCCTCGTAGAGCTTTGGAATGAAGCCAGGCCTGTCGGTCCGCATGCGGGGTTTGGCCGTGTGGTCCAACCTGGGCTGGATATCATTTTGCACATTTCGTATCGATACAACTTGCAATGACTCATTCGTAGATCTAACAATGCCTCGCCCTCACCTGGCACTTGCTAGCTTTTGTGAGTCGCTGGCGGAGCCTCCCAGGCTGCACGCGCCAACGAGATGTCTGTTCTGTTCTTCCTTGTCGGCTCTCGGTCATGGTTGGGGTTCGCTGTGACGTCGAAATCAAGGCGCCGAAGTGGCTGCAGCACACACTGTGCCGACGCGGTTCGGACAGAAACGTAAAGCAGTAGACGAATGCACCTATTCCGCCCTGGGGCTGGATCTGCGCATAGGCTCCCAGGGCCGCTGCCACCGTCCTCGAAAAGACAAGTTGCCGGAGTGGCTCAACGGAATCTTGGAGCTCACTGTATAGGTCTTCTTGTCCCCAATTACAGGGCACGCAACGGGTGTTCCTCAGCCCTCAAACACCCTCAAGTGCTTGACAGGGTCCGCCATGCCAGCCGGGAACATTCCTTGGAGGTGGCATCCGGCGTGCGTAGCTCCTGGATGGGTTACAACACGGCTCTAGTCTTCAGGGCCCGTGCATGCTCAATGCATGGATAGTTCCTCAACCTGCAGATACGCAACCCGGCACGGGCGCAACAAGTCTGCTGCAAGTCGCTGGGACGGGACAACTACGGGTCATCAGGGCGGATGGATCGATAAGCACCCCCGACTCCGAGATTTCGTCGAGGGCCAAGGCTGCAGCCTCTGCCGTGCTGAAGCCCCAGCGCTCGTCCTGACTCGTGGAAACTTGTGCCCCACCGCTATTCCATCTAGGCGTTGTGCTTGTACATGTATGCCTGGGCACATGCCTGACAACATGTTAACATATTGACTAGGAAGGCACGTGGGCACGGGTGCACTCGCGTACATTACGAACAAGCTGCTTCAGAGATAAGAAGTTCGCAGGTCCAACACCTCGAAGTCTGCATTGCGCTAGGGCGACCGGGGTTTCTTGAAGGTTTAAGAGAGGAGACTTGCTGGCAAGTGTGCCTTATGAATGCAGCAGACAGGGAAGTCGGATCCGATGCCACGCCCGGGCTAAAACGAAAACCCAACACGCAGAGAGCCGCCTTAAAGCCGCAACCAGCCAAGTCCTCGCTTGCCACAAAATCATGACCATCAGCCGCTTCCAGCTCGCGGGTGTTCCCGAGTAGCAACGGCTTGCGAACCTTCCAAGTCTCGAGGGAGGCTGATTATAAACCATAGATTCAGACAACACCACTGCTTGCAGCTGCATCTGCACGTCGAAATTCTCTTGATAGTAGCACTCCGAGGTCTACAAGAAAATCTGAAAAAAATCAGCGGTGTCATGCTACTTGTATTGCGGCGGTTCTGCTGGCACATCAGGGTGAGGGGACAGCAAGCAGAACAAGGACGGATCGGCTACCCAGTTGCAAAAGCACTATGGTCCTTGCCGCCACGTACATGTCTGTCATATGCAGTGTATATGCTCTGATGTGTCGAAGCCTGCAAGCCAGATCACGAAGGATAATGGACAACGGGTTCGTTGACAATTGTCAGATACCCAAAGCACAAACCCCAAGCATGCAAAGGCCGACACATGATTCCTACCACCAAACAAGGCACTACAAATACCGGGCGGGTGCCGGATGGCGGCGTCAACTCCACGCGCTGTATCCTGAGGATCTCCCACGACCCACAAGTGCGGCAAGGATGTAAGTCTTGGGATTTGAGGTCGGGGATTGGAGCTCTGGCAAACTGGGCAGTGTTGACTCTGAACCTGTTGGAGCTTCTAGACCAAGAGTCCGAGACCTTGTTGTGCGCCCGGATCCGGAGAGGAACAGAACCCTATCAGAAATCAAGAGGCGAACGTAGATCAATATATCGTGACAAGGAGGACCAGTTCGAAAAACTACAAAAATTCAGGAAACTGTTGCGGAAAGCTGGGAGACGAACTCAAAAACACGGGCGATGATATCTGCAAACAGCAGCAGCGACTCAGCTGATTCGCCCCACCCGCCCTCCACTCAAAAACAGAAAAGCACACACTAACCCACAACGGTTTGGGCCTGAGGGGGACCTACTCGACCAAATGCAAAAAACTACAGAGGCTGTGAGAAGCAGCGAGGTTGCCCTGTCAGGCCCTGATGCAGGAGTCACGTGTCACACGGCGAGTCGTCTCACGTACGCCTTTTTTACACCCATATGCCAGGAACCGAGGCGCCGACCGTGCTGTGGATTCGTGGCACATGGCTACCCCATGTACGCCTAAACCCTAAACCCTAAAAGAAACCCTTGACCTGCACCGGAACCACCCCAGCCCTTTGAGACCGTCTCCCCTGACATGCTCACATCATTCCTGACATCACGCCCTGCAAAGCCGCCCCGACTGCGACACCTGTGCCAGGCCCAAATGTCGGCTGGCAAAGCCCCAAACCTGAAAAGAAGGTAGTCCATGCCAACGATCAAGCCCCACCCAACAGTAGATGTCGAAACCCAGAACGGAGATGTCGGTTGGCAAGCCCCGCACCTAGAAGAAGATAGTGGTTCATAAAACCCCTGAGGAAGGAATACAATGGTTGGCAAACTGGCAAGCCCTAAACCATAGCCTCACATTCTACTCGGAGATGTTACAGTTGTTTGGTAAGCCCCAAAATTCCAACATGAAGATCTTGTGCCGAATCCCAAACCCCAAAAGGAGACGTTGGTTGGACCCACCGAGCCGAAGATGGCAGGTGGCAAACCGAAAAGCCTGAAAGAAGGTTGCGTGTTGTCGGGTGGCAAGCCCAAAACCCGCAAAGAAGATGTTGGTCGGCAAACCCCAACTAGTGCTGGCAGCAAACCCGAGACCTTAAAAGACTAAGCAATTGCTTGGCAACCCCCTTTTGCATCCGGCCTACAAAACCTCTGCTTGTGGGCAAAGCATGCAACGATGCTCGTGTGAAACGTGTGGATGGCAAACCTCAAGCCGAAAAGAAGGAGATACTGGTTGGCAAACCCTAAACCTGAAAAGAGCTGTTATCAGAAACTCTCTACTCTTCAATCTTATTTGGTCTCCCACGATTCCACAAGCCTCCAAAGCCTCGCCACCAGAGATCAAAACCCCATAATATGTAAGCTTTGAACATTGAACATATCTTATCTTCTTCAAAGGACACAGTCAGTCCATGGCTAGGTAGAAGTTCCAAGCTGGAGAGCTCGTAAGATAAAGACCATCGGCCTAGACAGCGGATCGCCAGACTCCGACACGGCGGCCATTTCGCCTCAGCGATGTTCTGACTGGAGCATAATGCCGGACTGTGTCTCATGGTGTGCCGCTTCGAAGCTGCTGTCGAGCAGCACAATAACGTGAGCATTGAGCAGCAAGATATGGAAAGACCACTGAGGGATCCGAGGGTTAATCATGTCTCGCTCCAGCCTACAAAGCTCTTTTGGCCCTGCCACTGCTTAAGTAGGAGCCGCTTCACTGCACAATCGCATTGCTGGCTCGGATCTTTGAACAATCCTGAATAATCCTGCAACCAAAGCACGGGCAAAGCGCCAGGTGGCATCCACCAGGATTAGGTGTCGCACTTTCGCATCCAGAACTTCCTCCGAGCAGCACCCTCCATCCTACAGCCCACTTCGTTCGCTGAGAACTGCGAACCCTGCAGTCCTTCAGCGGGCGCGCGCCGGGTCCAGGGAAAACGAGCAGACAGCTTTCGGGCTCCCTGTACCTGGGCCGTGTGAGGTAGCGCGCTGGAAACCTCTGAGACATCTCGGCCGTTGGGTGGGGGAGGATTTCGGACTCAGAGGCCGACCGTCTTTTTGCTTCAGGAAGCCTGTAAGTTAATTACAACAGTGCAGCTCGAGCTCACATGCTACCTCCGTACTATAGTACAGTATTATACCCACCGCAGGCCTCTCGCCAAGAGCAGCAAAGGAGCAAATGCTCGAGCCCGATGGGCACCTCCGACGGCAGCCTCCGCGTAACATGCTGCCTCTCAGGGGGTTTTTTGTCGAAGGATCAGGCGACTTGGGCGAAGAGCCGCCAAAAACACCCAGCCACGCAGCCCTCATCTCACGTGGTACAGTGAGCAACCGATGAACCCTAATCCCCCTCATCCCTATCCAAGGCCTCACGCCGCGGACACAGCGTTCCAGTATCCAGGCGCTCTGGTGCTTCTGGCGTCGCTCTTTGGGGTGCCGGAGAAGCAGCACCTCTGTAGCCGCGCAGGCGGGACATTTCATTCAGCTGCATATGACCAACGTCATGCGACGAGTGGATTTGTTGACGTTGCTGCTGTTGGGCAACTGACTAGGGGTTGGAGCTCAGTCCTTGTGAAACCATTGAACCCAAGATCGGCGTCAGCTTCACAATCAATGGCTCGTAGCCATCTATCAAAGCAACCAGCCCAGGTGACAACTAACCTCCAAGACACAACAGCAAATCTGGTGAGTCACGCTCTCCAGACCAGAAGGCAGAGCCAGCGGTTCGGATGGAAGACTCGCACAAATGCCTCGTGTGACGAGTGAAGGGTTTTTTTGTGTGGAGGCTTCAGTGGCAACGTATTTCGTTTTTGGCTCTTGCATCCCAAGCGCAGGGGGAGTTCATGGGCAGCGAGACATCTGGTTGAGAAGCCGGGTTTCCGGGTTCCTGTCTTTGCCCAAGAACCCGACCGACCCGACCTGAGGTCCCGGAGATGCAGAGTATGAGCTTGGAATCTCCAGACCCTGAGCATCGAATCCCTGCACAAGGTAACTTGGCCTGGTATTCTGGCATACACAAGACTGTTCGAAACAAAGACAACTGCTGGCCTCCCACAAACATGACACATCTCGTCCCATCTCAAACCCGGACACAGTAGACACCGAAGCGCCCAGCACAGCCCCCCTCAATAAGAAAAACATGCGACCCAGATGCAGGTGCGCACAGGCCGCCCACAGCCCTCGCACATGGGCCGGCCAGCACGGCCGCTTCCAGGCCTTTTCTAACATGGCTTCCTTCAGCAGGGAGGGGCCGTAAGGGGGCTCATGCAGGATATGGGGGCCCAGCTCTCACAAGACCCGAGAGGCGGAGAGAGGTCCGAGTCGGCTTCCAACTTCTCCGTGGTTTCCAGGCTGTGGCTGTCTTCCATGTCGTCACGCCTGCCTAGGCCCCCGGGCAGATGCCGGCTGAGGACGGGGTTCCGAATGTTCCGACTTGTACGCATCGAATCGATTCGGAAGGACCAAACCTGGACCCCTGAACAGGGTCGGAGTGAGCCTCAAGAAATGCAGCCAGCCCACGAAGCTTCAGAAACACTCGGTAGACACTGATCCTTCCCCACACATATTTGAAGCTTGAACTCCGGACTACAAGCCTCAGCATTGCTGGTACTGTCCGTGCTGCTGACATCGAGCTCATGTCATCTTTAAGGTCTTGTCCTTTGTGGACAGAGAAGCCATTTGGTTTTAGTCTTGTCAGGACAAGTAGGTACCAGAGTGCAGTGCGACGCCTTCGCTTTGGAATTAACAACCAGCTCACTCCGGAGAGCACTTCTTTTGCACATCCCATGGCTTCCTGAGCCCAAGCTGCACAGCGAGGGACGGTACAAGACCGAGCCAGCCTGTTGGCAGCGGAAGCAGCGGTCGCGCCGCCACAGCACAGTCCATTTTGATGCTGTCGGAGATGAAAGCAAGCATTTTGGAGTTCAGGGCTGGGGGTATGAAGTTACCTTCCTTTCCGGCTGGTCAGTCTCTCAGTCGGCGGCTAGGTCGAGAGCCTATTGGCCAGCTCCCGCGTTGAGTGTCAACTTCCGATTCTTTTCCTGCTGATTCGCCAAACACTTGTGTGCTGTGTCGAGTAAAGTTTCCTGAAGCCGTAAGTCTATAAGTGGCCATAAGCATCGCGGCCTCGGCACGAGCAAGTGACAAGCTGGGCACAGCGCACAGGCTTGCTTGAAACCGATGTTCTTCAACTCACATGCGAACTACCGGGGCTCGAAAGCAGTCTCCAGAGCCCGAGTAGCGCCGCCGAACCTATAACCTTGCTGCAGAGCTGCGGGCACGTGCTTCTTACAGAATATGCTTTACGGACCTGCACATAAACCCATCATCATCATCGCTAGTATTGGATTTTAACATCACGAAAATACTGTACACACGGAGTAAAACAGATGTGTTCTTAAACAGTGTTTAAAAGAGGTGGTTGGCAGGGGGCGCCTACTACTCCTGCTGCTGCTTCTAATACTGCTTCTGACAAGAGCCGAGCACGAAGCTAAAAGAATCGTCGGGAAATGCGTTGCGCCTCGGTCGTGAGCAAGGGTCCATCTTCTCCCTGGCAGACAACCGGCCCGATTCTTCTCGCATCTGACACAAGACTCTTTATGACTCTCATTGATCTCCTTGGCTTTATTTCGAAGTCGATTTTCATTCCAGATGCTCCTACTTTTAGACTCATCGAACCAAATCGGGCTGATGAGCACTAGCCAAGCAAACCGCGTGCTTGCTTGACCAACTCGAGCCCAAGTCAGCCGATCCCGGTTTGTGGAGAAGGGCGCAGTCTGAGGGGTTCGATCTGCTGCTGTCGTCCGTCGCCTTCTCACTCGTTCCTCTCTATCACGACTTCCAGTGACGCATCTGCTCATCCCCTCCCTGCACCCGCTTTGCTTAGGCCAGGAGGTGCTGGCATGGCCTCAGCAGCTCCGTATGCGCGCCATCACCCGCTGCCCTTTTCTCCCTCCCAATCTCCCCCCCACCTTCCCCCCACAGTTTTTCGAAATCGCGCATTTGGGGCCAGGCACAGTTGAACGTGACAACCAAGCTGGGGGTTTTCAAGCAGCCAAAGAGCAGAAACGATGTTCATGATGCTGGCTTCATAGGTCGCTGATGATGGTGCTGATGCTGCCTTTGGCCCGTAGCCACTAAAATTCTGCCAGGAGTATCAAGGATTCTCACGGGCTGGCCGGTTGGAGGCCGGTGGGCACAGTGCTTCAACTCCTTCCTGGACATCTGTACAATGGCGTCGTGGTCGTGCATATCGACGGGGTGCTCATAGCAGCCCATCCCTCTGCAAAGCAAGGCGGTAAGCGCGGAATGTGAGCCACCCTTGCGTCTTCCTCGACCCTCAGCCCCTCAACGCCTCTAGCAACCTTCAGCCAAAGCACCTGCATCCGGAGCCCTGCTGCGCTTGTGGAAGTGCCTGGCCTGATCGAGTCCACGCTGAAAAGAGGAGCCAAGACTGGTTGAGCAACTCCTGCTCGAAAGCTGTTTGCCAAGCTCTGAGGCTGCAACGTGGAGTCCTCGCTTCCCACAGGCCTTGGCCATCAAGGCAAAGAGCAAAGCGACGAAGCCCTCGCCGGCAAAGCAAAGCGGAGTCGCAGCGGAGTCTCAGGGCCGCACACACGGCGGAAGGCACCAATGGGGACGTTCAGACTGGAGGCGGAGGCAGGGGCCTAGGATCTGGCTAAGCTTGGAAGCTTCGTCTTCAGGCGATTGACGCCGCTCGGAACTAGTCTTTGCCAAAATCATACCGCCAACAGACCGAGCACAGACGAAAGCAGCTAAGTCCGGCCTGACGATGTCGGTCCCGCATGGTGAACCTGAGTCAAAACAGGGCTGGTGGCTTTTGCCCCTCCAAACTATCAGCAGGCCAGGGTCTCTCTTTCATTCTCTTTCAAGGTGGCCAAAGTCAAGGACAACAGGCTTCTGGCGTGCAAGCGCTTTTTCGTGGCGAATTGTAGACTGGCCTTTGCTACGCCTACACGGCCTCGCAGACTTGTGAGCGAAGCTTCGGAAGGGACCACTAAGCAAACCTAAAGGCATTAGTTCACTAGCTTCCGATAACCACTGGCGAAAGCAGCAAAAAACGCGGCTTCGTCTGCTGCGAACCTCTCCACCTGGCCGTTTGGTTACGCAATGCTTCCTAGTTCGCTCGAAACATGAAGCGCAGGGGATTTCGGACCTAGAGCCTGTTTATCCCAGCCTGGCTGTGGAGCCCGGGGTCGAAAAGCATCCCGATGTCCGAGGGGAGCAGATTCAACGGCGAGCTCTTCTCGCTCTCTGCTCGCTCCTTCCACGGTCGCTCCGCTCTCTCGGCTTTCTTCCCTTGATTACGGCCTGGGTGTAGGGGTCGTGACAAAAGAGACGCAACTTGGTCAGTCCCTGCAACATCAAGCCCCAAACCTCCACACCTTTAAAACATAAACAGAAGGAAGGACATTCAGAAGTCAGAAGTATCATTAAAACTTAAACAGCAGGACGCATTCAGAAATCAGAAGTATGCAAGGCGAACAAGTTCAGCACAAACTCTGCTCGTTGCAGAATCGCATGCTTCCAGGATTTATCCTTGTAGCGCGTTTTGGGCTTCGGCATCTTCTGCCGCTGCTCCCAGAGGAGGACCTCCCAGACACGGGCAGGAGGCACGAAGGGCAGGCAGCTTAGGAGACAGACGGTCTGTGCAGGTCTGCTTTCCCCTTTTTGCCCGTGCCTCCTGGAAGTATTCGTTGTTAAAAGCTGCCGGGCTCTCTGTAAAGGCAAGCCGCCGGCCCTGCTCCTGCCAAAGGGCAAACAGCTCGACAATGCTCGACAAACAGAGAAGTCGCATGCAGACCAGCCTGAATAATCAAAAGATGAAAAAATGACCACGACAAACTCAACAAACCTCCTGAACTCAGCAGACCCTGGTGTCCCGGGAGCAGGTCCAGAAGGCCCGGCCCTCCTCGCAGGGGTTCCAGAAGGCTGCAGATGACCGCAGCATGATGATAACAGCGACGGATCGGGGTCGGTGTCGTGAGTAAATGCACTTTTGTATTTTACGGGATTCCGTGCAGGTGTAGGAGATTCAATACGAAAGCCGCACTTGGCGAAACTCTTCCGACCCTTTTAAGGAGACACTTCAGTGTATACGTCGTTTGTGTACCATGTATGTATTTGTACTGCACATATGGTGTATATGTATATACGCGTCTATGTACGCATGTATGCATGCATGCATGTATGTATGTATGTAGCTGTCTATGTATAAACATATACATATATACATATGTATACATGTATACATATGTATACATGTGTACATATATATGTATGTATGT